AGGGCAGTGCCACCCCCTGTGCCCGTCCCCTGTCCTGCCACTGCCACATCCCCCAGGCCAGCAGCACCAGCGAGAGGAGCTGCCAGTCTCTCCAGCAGGTGCTAATGATGGATGGCATAAATGAAATTATATTTGAGGTGTGAGCAGCCAGCTGTAAATTCATCAAACAGCAAAGGTCGCGCACGTAATTTACACCAGAACTCTGTTCCCAAAGCCACGAGCACAAATAAATACGGGTGATGAGCAGAGAGGGATGATTTTTTTTTTGTCTGAGGTTGACTCTGGGAAACAGGAGCTGCACATCCCGTGCACTGTTCCCCTCGTTGCTGTTTTCCTGTGCAAGGCTTGGTCTGGATGCTGTCGGTTCCTTTCTAAGCCAGGACAGGGCGAGGTTGGAGCTGGGCAGCCCCTGGCGCTCCTGCAGCTCCCTGGAGTTCTGAAAAAGCCCTGAGAAAAGCGCTGCCCACCTTTTTCTGCTCTGATTCTTCTCTAGATGAGATAAAAGTGGAAACAACGGGGGTGGTTTGAGCCGATTTTCTCTTTGCTGGAGGTGCCCTGCAGCACCTTGCAACCTCCACACGGGACTCTGAGCACCGGGAGGGAGGAACTGGGTTTTCCARCACTTTCCAGGCGTTTACAGCCTGGTGATTTTCAAAAATGTCCCTTCAATGTTGTCACTCGCAGGGGCAGGAGGTTGGACACGCTGGCAGTGCCAGCCGGGCACTGAGTGCTGGGGAAGGTGGGGGTGTGTGGTTGGAGGGGGTGAGGAGAGGGAAGCTGATGGTTATTTTGGGAGGTKCAGGAGGGGAGCAAAGAGCCCAGCTTTCATTTTCCAGGCAGCTGCTGCTGATTCAGGAGGTTTGAGCAGCGCCAGTTGCGTGGGGCTGAGCTGATGGGGGCCCGGTGGCACGGCCCGGGTGACACGGATATGGTGACACGGTCCAGGTGACACGGCCCTCCTGTGGGGTTTCAGCTCCCTCATCATCATCTCCTCCCTCATCATTTCCTCCCTCTCTCAGGGGGCATGGGCTGTGCTTGCAGGAGAAGCCATGAGGTGACAGGAGAGGAAAGGGACCCCAGAATCTCCAAGCCGGATTTTCCTTCTCTTCCCGCTGTCTAAGGCATCACATGCTTTGCTGTCACCCTTTCCAGACCCCTCACAGGACTCAGTGTGACCCTTTGACACATCCCCATGTGATGGAAACRCACAGCAACGACACAAACCTTTCCGTATATTCTTTGATGATTTTTTCCTCCCTGTTAAACCAAACCCAGAGTTTCATCCATCACCCACACCGCTGGGTTTTGTTACACACGGTGGAGAATTCAGGATCTGCTTTCTCAGCTCTGGTCCTGTTCCTTTTCTCTT